CAGGCACAACTCACCGGTCGAATGAAGCGGCTGACATCAGGTCACGGCGGGATCCAACACACTGTTGCCTGTCAACATCCTTGGGTCGGAACTCCCATCGCCATCACTCGAACATAGAAGACGCCGGTCTACCACGAAATCGTCTTAGTCGACCTGGAGCTGGTACATCTCTTCGTCCATTTTTATCGCTTCGGTGGTTAACCGCACGCGGAATTTCCCGAGCCTCTGGCGCCACGAGACGTCGTCGAAGTCACCATTCTCCCCCAACCTGGCACCGACATGCCAGAACTCCCCCATGACGGTGGCGGAGTCTGCAATCCCTTCGACATTGTGGAGATCACCGCGTGCTGCTTGAAGTCGGTGGTAGCTCTCCGCCAACGCCTTTTCCATATGATGGACCGCTTCGGGAGATGGGCCGGCTGGGTCCCCCCGAGTGCGGGGGCAAGCGTCGGGTGGAAATGCATCGAACGTTTGCGTGCTAGTTTCTACCCCGTTGTGGCGCAGGGCGCTGACGCCGTGAAAAGGAATCCATTCTCTTGGCCAGAACTTCGGTGTTGTACCAAATGGCCTCGTACTCCTGCATGTCCTCGTCGTCCTTGTTGTATGGGGCAGCAACAGGCCATCGTCATGTCTGGGGCCAGCCCGAAGCAAACAGCAGGGCTGCTGACAAAAACATGGTGCATGCCCTTGCTGGTGCTCGGGTTGGTGATGTCGTCCAGGTCGGGAGGAGTGATTGACAGCGACGATGTTGTGCCGCCTGCAATTCCGTCGCTGAAGGAGTACTCGGCGAACTTGAGCTCGATATTCGAATCAATGCCCAGCTCGTGGTTGAGGCAGATGAGAAATCCGACGCGACGCTGCGGATACATCTTCTCCGCCCACCCAAGCGCCGCGTCCAACTCTCGCAGGCGCCTCTTAGTCCGGTTGCTGGTGGGATGTCTTTTGCAAGCTGCAGCGCGCCCCTGGATGTGCTTATCCAAGAAGGCCGTGGAAATTCAGAAAATATCCAGGTGCAGAGCAGCCAGTAGCTCCGCAACATCATGCCCAATAAATGTAAACGAATTCGTGCGAGGATGGTCCCGCACCAAAATGCACGTCGCATGTCCCGCATTGAGCCAAAATGGCCACGGAATCAGGAAGGAAGCCAAGCTCAAGGTCAAGGCCGTTGTCCGTCTCAAGCACAGAGAGCTTGAAACACTTCGCTGACCCGCAGGGCTCCTGGATCGTTGCCAACCCTGGGGGCGTTCCTGGGGCGCCCCACTGCCTGGTGGACTCCGCCGGGCGCCCCGCCAGCAGGGAGGCCCTGCCCAGAAGCGTTTGCGTGAGCAGCGGAAGCAGGGAGGCCGCCGCTGCTGCTGTCGTGCAGCGCGCGCCTCCCTCGACAGGGCCAGACGATTGCGGCCGAACGCCAGCTCCACGAGAGAACCCCTCCACGCCCACCACCTCCTCCCCCCCCCCCGCCTCCAGATCCGACGCGCCAGATGCGCGCCGTTGCGTGCCTTCTTCCTGTTGTTCTTTCTTAACCTTGACGAATGATCAGGGTGTGTGTTTTCTTGCGCGCTGCCCCCGCATGGCATGAACTGGCGTGCATTTTCCCAAATGTTCGGTGCGTGCAAACATCCGTGTCTACTAATCCTCGTTGATATAATCTTGCCGTCAAGACGGGGGCTGGCGAGTGCGTCCTCTACGTCGGAAAATGGCGTTTTCACTCGGTGTGCCAAGTGATTGATACGTGTCCTTCTTTCCACTGCCATTGGACATGGTTTCTTTAGTAATGGTGCCATGCCATCTTTACGCTTGCGATATGTGTAAACAACGACTCGCAAATCCAACTTTTGCTCTTTCGAAGCGCAGTATGGTAACAATGAGGACCCCATCTGCGAAACTTTCCGAACACCATATTTCTTCATACAACTGTCGCTCGCTTGATGGAGCATGTCGTCAGTCTCGAACATGTGTTGCCTTAGCGCATGTGTTGCCTGCGCCTCCCTCTCTAGATCGCAAACAGGTACAAGCATACGCGTCTGCGTGCTTCGATATCGGCCTGTCAAGGGGTGCGCTGTGAGTCCACGTTTCCACTGACGGCAATTGGGTATAGGTGTTTAGCTGTTGATGATTGTACATGCAGCAAGTGTTCTCTTCGGCGCTCAGAGAAGCACAATCCTGCCAGACGTTCTTTTCCCTCGTAGCCTCCCTCGCTCGATCTTTCTCAGCGTGAGCAAGGTGCGTGTGGCATGCCGCTGGGAAGCAAAAGAAGCACTGCTTAATTATCCGCGTGCCCACGGCAAATTTGTGTATAATGAAGCACATTGATGTGCACGGACTGCCTGCACAACCGATGCCCGGTCCGGCTCATCCAATTTCGCGGAGACCGTGTCTGATGACGCTGTCTTCAGAAGCTTCATGATCTCTAGCTTGGATTCCTGAGTTTTCCGCGAGTGTGTGCGACGTATCCTGTCCCTGCGTCGCGCACTCTGCCTCTTCAAGGTCACACTGTCGAATCGACATGCGAACGAGAAAAAAACATGGCGGCCACTATGGCGGCGACAAGAACACGAGAAGTCCTCCCGACTCCCCCTGCGCCCAAAAACGAACTGGTGAGGGCCTGGGTGCGACTACCTGGGGGCCGCTCCGTACTCCGCGCGGCTGGGAAGCAGATTCTGGGTTCCTCAAACAGCAGCCTAAGAGGAAGGAGGGGGAGGGGGAGGAGGAGGAGGAGGAGGAGGAGGAGGAGGAGGAGGAGGAGGAGGAGGAAGGATCAGTGTCACCGGTGTTGGAATTAACCCTCCCCCCAAGCTCCCCATTCATAGGGCTCATGCCAAATCATTGCTCTCGGGATGTCAACGCCATGGATCAGTCTGGCTGCTGCGTCTTGACGATCCGGAATCGTACCAGAACGACATTTTTTGATTTCAACACTGCAAATCAACATAACTGTTGCACCCGCAAAATCCTGAATCCTTCCAAGACACCTTTTCTGGTACGTTGATCCTGGAAACTCTTTTAATTTCAATGAACGAATGTGCGCGGCGTTAAAGCGAGAACCACATGTTGAAAAGGAGCCGCCCTCAATCTGCGAAACTCCTGCATGTTTTAGAACGAATGTGCGCGGCACTCAGGCGAGAACCACCATTTGAAAACCACCCGCCCTCAATCCGTGAAGCTCTTGCAAATATTGAAAATGAATGTGCTCGGCGCTAAGGCGAGAACCACATTTTGAAAACCACCCACCCTCAATCCTTGAAGCTCTAGCAAATATTGAAAACGAATGTGCGCGGCGCTAAGGCGAGAGCCAGATTTTGAAAACCACCCGCCCTCCATCTGTTAAACTGTTGCCACTTTTCAAGCTTCAGAATCATTAGTGGTGAGGAAGTATCAGGCGAAACGCCCGGCCCACCCTAAAAACTGGCCTCGGGGTGCGACAGGGAGAGGTTATTCTCTTGCACAGTTGTGTTCTAGAGCTCGGCCCTTTCTGTTTTCGTGGTTCGTCGTCGTCCCCCTGCCCCCCATCCCCTGGCCTCCGCGCCCCAACCCGGACCTCTGGCTCCTGGTCCGAGCCCCAGTCCTCCTGCCCTGGCCCTAAACCCAGCCTCCCTCATTGGCTCTTGCGTCCCCTGGCCCTGGCCCCAGCCCCCCTCGCCCTGGACCCTTTATTTTCATGGTTCGTCGTCGTCCCCCTGGCTCTGGCCTGCTTCCCCTGGCCCCCTCGCCCCCGTCCTCCTGCCCTGGCCCTGAACCCAGCCTCCCTCCTTGGCTCTGGCGCCCCCTGGCCCTGGCCCCAGCCCCCCTCGCCCTGGACTCTTTATTTTCATGGTTCGTCGTCGTCCCCCTGGCTCTGGCCTGCTTCCCCTGGCCCCCTCGCCCCCGTCCTCCTGCCCTGGCCCTGAACCCAGCCTCCCTCCTTGGCTCTGGCGCCCCCTGGCCCTGGCCCCAGCCCTCCTCGCCCAAGCCCTTTTATTTCAGTGGTTCGTGGTTTGTCGTCGTCCCCCTGGCTGTGGCCCGCTTCCCCTCGCCCCCGACCCCCTGGCTGTGCCCCACCCCCCCTCGCCCCCTCGCCCCAACCCGGACCTCTGGCCTTTGGTCCGAGCCCCAGCCCTCTGGCCCTGGCTGAACTCAGCTTGTTTTCTGGCCTTGGCCCCACTCGCCCCGACCTGGCCTTCGTCCCACCCCTCCTCGCCTAGGACCGTGTATTTTCGTGGTTCGAACCCGGACCTCTGGCCCCTGGTCCGAGCTTCAGTCTCCCTGCCCTGGCCTTGGACCCCCACTCGCCCCGACCCTGGCCTTGGCCCCAACCCTCCTCGCCCCGGACCCTTTATTTTCGTGGTTCCGTCCCCCTGGCTCTGGACCCCCATCCCCTGGCCCTCTCGCCCCCCACATGCCCCTCCTCCTCTTTCTCTCCTCAAATGTGCAAGAGTCAAGGCACGCGTGCCACTTGCTTAGAAGGAAAAGGAACTGAAGAAGGAGGAGGAAGAGGAAGCAACAGCGCGCTATTCAAATCGAGGACCCAACACGCAGCAGGAAGATTGTGCAATTGACGATGCGTACGCGCTGCCTACTCTGATGCCGTCCGCGAGGCATGCTGCGGAAGCCGCACCGCGAGCCCACGATTGGCTCCGCAAGCAATCGATTCGCCCGCGGTCGCGGATGATCCCGAGACCAACACCTTTCCCCGCCTTCCCCCCCCAACCCCCACTTTTCCTCAGCCTCCACTCCCTTGCCCCCTCCTCGTTGTCCTCCTTAATGCCCTCCCCCCCGTCCCCTCCTCTGCCCACCCCCGTCCTCCTGCGTGCCCTCCCCCGCCCCTGGGGCAACCGCACATGTGTATGCACCGCTACTCCGCGGACCTATCCCCAGGTGCGCTCTGACCAAAACCTCGGCGCGAACCCGGCCGTGGCGTCGATGGCGCCTCCCAGGACGGCGAGAACCTGGGGGGCGGGCGGCGGTACCCGTGCCTTCTCCTCTGCGCCTCCTCGCCCCCGTCGTCCCGAGCACCCCGGGGCCTCCATCAGCGTCCCGATCCTGAACACGTCCGCGCCCGGGATGCCCTCCACCGCCCTCGGTCTCAGGAGGCACGGCGCCCGGACGGCGGGCACACCTCGGAGGCTGAACGGCACCGGCGGAGTCGAAGCGCACAGTACGGGTGCAGGGTGAGGATGCAGTAGCCCTTGGAAACCCAGCGGAAGTTTTAGCGCTCCCTGGGCGCAAGCATTGGCTCGGGATGGGCCGAAGAAACAGGGATGCAAGGGCAGGATTGATGAAGCAGTGCGTCCTTACTGTGGATTTCGACGACGCATGCGGTAAGACATCTTGCTGGAAGAAATATTGGGTCACACCCTTTGTCGATCCTTGAGGATCCTATGATGCTCCAGAGCTTCTGTGGGGCCCTGGGGCCATCGGGGGATAGGAAACTTCCATGGTGCACCTGCTGGCAGGCCGATGTCCGGTTCGAAGTCCCTGCTGCGCAGCAAGGGAGACTCCACACGTGGGAGGGGTTGGGCAGAGGAACGTGAAACGCCGTGTTCCATGCCGTTTCAGACTCCTCTGCTCGCCCGAACACGATGATACGCGGCCGCACGCAGAGCAACCTTGAGGTGTTCGGTGTGGGGGTCACCCTCGACTGCCAAGAAACCGACAGGTGTAGCTGGAGTAGTACCCCCCCCGGACACCTCGCGTTTCCAGGCGAGGGCCTCTTCTGACCCAGGGCCACACACAAGCCGTGACCACAAACTGTTTAGAACCCCTAGAACTCTTTAGGAATCCCTAGGACTCCTTAGGAATCCCTGGGAATCCGTGGGAACTTTTGGGGATCCCTGGGGCTCCTCAGGGATCCCTAAGACCCCGTAGGGATCCGTAGGACTACTAAGGAATCCCTGGGACTCCTAAGGAAACCCTAGGACTCTTAAGGATTCCCTGGGATTCCTAAGGAATCCTGAACAATCCCTTTAAGGATCCTCGTAATCCTGGAGGATCCCTGGGGCTCTGTAGGGATCCCACAGGTACCCGGTGTAGGTTATGTATGTGTATATTATATAAGAACGTACGCGTATGTGTACATGTGCAAATCTAGATGTATATGTATATATGTTTGTATTCATATGCAATTGAATTCATATATATATATATATATATATGAATCTTATATATACATATATTTATGTATGTATATATACACATACTACATATGCAACTTTGAAAGCATATATATTTATGTATGTACATGTGTATGTGTGTAGCATTGCTTCTACACATGAATATGTGCATGCATGATATATATACAAATATATGTTTGTATACCTGCACACATACATATGTGCATGTATGTATAAATACACTTTTGGCGCATGCGCGCACATATATATATATATATATATATATATATGTATATGCACGAATACACATATGTACGTATACAGGTGTACAACGATGGCCCCTGATAGCCCACAAATCTGGGCGGGGAATGCGTGCCGCTCCCAAGGGAGACGCCTGTGTACTCTCACTTTAAACAGTAGTACCCGCTCTGCGTTGTTAAACACGATTTAACAACTCGACGCTGCCAGTAGTCCACCTGCCCTGGGGTGAAGGCTCTTCTTTTCTGCTCCTCACGGCCCATCCTTGTTTCCTTGGTTCAGTGCGCGCCGCATTTACCGGCAGTAACCAGTGCATCGCAGCGCAGCTGCCTCTCGGCAGCACGCACCTGCGCCTCGCGCGCGTGCAGGGGCCCCGCGCCAAGCCGCGCTGCTGCTGCCGCCCAGAGCAAGTGGGTCTGGGAGGCCTGCCAGTCTTCCGCAGAGCAGAGGTCGCCAACTCGAGCCGGCAGCGCGTGGCGGGGCCGAAGGAGAGGAAGAGGGGTAGGATAGGGAGGATGAGGAGGAGGGGCAGGAGCAAGAGCAGGAGCAGGATGAGGAGGAGGATCCGATGAGGAGGAGGAGCAGGTGCGCCATGCGCGCCATGCGCGCCAGGTGCGGCAGGTGCGCCAGGTGCGCCAGGTGCGCCAGGTGCGCCAGGTGCGCCAGGTGCGCCAGGCGCGCCAGGTGCGCCTCACGCCAGCCGCGCCAAGTGCGCCAGGTGCGCCAGGTGCGCCATGCGCGCCAGGTTCGCCATGCGCGCCAGCTGCGCCAGGTGCGCCAGATGCGCCAGGTGCGCCACGTGCGCCAGGTGCGCCAGGTGCGCCAGGTGCGCCAGGTGCGCAATGTGCGCCAGGTGCGCCAGGTGCGCCAGGCGCGCCGAGTGCGCCAGGTGCGCCAGGTGCGCCAGGTGCGCCAGGTGCGCCAGGCGCGCCAGGTGCGCCAGGTGCGCCATGCGCGCCAGGTGCGCCAGGTGCGCCAGGTGCGCCAAGTGCGCCAGGTGCGCCAGGCGCCCCAGCCGCGCCAGGTGCGCCAGGTGCGCCAAGTGCGCCAGGTGCGCCAGGCGCGGCAAGTGCGCCAAGTGCGCCAGGTGTGCCAGGTGCGCCAGGTGTGCCAGGTGCCCCAGGCGCGCCAGGTGCGCCAGGTGCGCCATGCGCGCCCGCTGCGCCAGGCGCGCCAGGTGCGCCAGGTGCGCCAGGTGCGCCAGGCGCGCCAGGTGCGCCATGTGCGCCAGGTGCGCCAAGTGCGCCAGGTGCGCCAGGCGCGCCAGGTGCGTCAGGCGCGCCAGGTGCGCCACGCGCCCCAGGCGCGCCAAGCGCGCCATGCGCGCCAGGCGCGCCAGGTGCGCCAGGTGCGCCAAGTGCGTCTGGCGCGCCAGGTGCGCCAAGTGCGCCAGGTGCGCCAGGTGCGGCAGGCACGACAGGTGCGCCAGCTGCGCCAGGTGCGCCAGATGCGCCACGTGCGCCAAGCGCGCCAGCTGCGCCAGGCGCGCCAGGCGCGCCAGGTGCGCCATGTGCGCCAGGTGGGCCACGCGCGCCATGTGCGCCAGGTGCGCCAGGTGCGCCAGGTGCGCCAGGTGCGGCGGGCACGACAGGTGCGCCATGTGCGCCAGGTGCGCCAGGAGCGCCAGGTGCGCCAGGTGCGCCGGTGCGCCAGTCGCGCCAGATACGCCAAGTGCGCCAGGTGCGCCAGGTGCGCCATGTGCGCCAGGTGCGCCATGCGCGCCAAGTGCGCCAGGCGCGCCAGGTGCGCCAGGTGCGCCAGGTTCGCCAAGTGCGCCAGGTTCGACATGCGCGCCAGGTGCGCCAGGTGCGCCATGTGCGCCAGCCGCGCCAGATACGCCAAGTGCGCCAGGTGCGCCGGGTACGCCATGTGCGCCAGGTGCGCCATGCGCGCCAGGTGCGCCAGGCGCGCCGAGTGCGCCAGGCGCGCCAGGTGCGCCAGAGGGGGAGGGGTTCGAACCAGTAGTGGCCCCCCTCTGGTTTTCTTGGGGGGCGCGGAGGGGGGGGGGGGGGGTTCGAACGGGTCGTGACCCCCCCCCCCCGGTTTTCCGGTGCCCCATGCGCGCCAGGTGCGCCAGGCGCGCCAAGTGCGCAAAGTGCGCCAGGTGCGCCAGGCGCGCCAGGTGCGCCAGGTGCGCCAGGTGCGCCAAGTGCGCCAGGTGCGCCAGGTGCGCCAGGCGCGCCGAGTGCGCCAGGTGCGCCAGGTGCGCCAGGCGCGCCAGCGGCTGGGTTGCTGGTTGCTCGTTGCTGGTTGCTGGGGTGGGGTGGGGTGGGGTGGGGTGGGGGGGGGAGGGCGGGTGGTTAGGTGCAGTGTCAATCAACGACAACAACACCAACAACAACCACAACCACAACCACAACAACAACAATAGGTTTAAGACTGTTCGCCCTTTATATGCTCGAGTGTCCAATAACGCGTATTTCCCAAACCCTCGATGCCCGCCCTCTTCGTCTTCGATCGAGCCCTTTTTGGGGGTATACCTTTCTTCCCTGCAGGCCGGGCCCCGGCAAGCGGCGGGGCGGCCGCGGACCGTCGGCCTGGCCAGCGGCAGCGCTGATCGGCGGGGCGGCCGCGGACCGTCGACCCGACCCCAAGAGGGACGGACAGGGGACCGACCACGACGACGACGACGACGACGACGACGACGACGACGACGTCGAAGACGACGGCGACGACGACGACGACGACGGCGACGACGAGCGAAAGCGAGAGCGAGAGAGAACGACAGCAGGGCCACGAAGGGCACGAAGTAGGCCACGAAGGGCGACAGCGGGGACACGAAGGGAATGCGTATGGGGCCACGAAGAGCGCGAACGAGCGGGGGCCACGAAGTGCAGATAATGCGGGGCCACAGAAGGCAACTAGGGGGCCACTGAGGGTAGCAACTGGGCTACGTAGGACAATGAGGGGGATACAAATTGCGACAGCAGGGCCACGAAGGGCATGCACATGGGGCCACAACGGGCGCGACTCCTCGGTGCCTGGGTGTCGGGAGCGCGGCGCTCGGGCAAATTGCAGGAAATTCCAACGCAAGGCCATTCTTCAGTAAGTTGCAAGCAAGTCTCCAGCGAGAGCGCGACTCCACAGCGCCGGGAGGGCGATTCCTGCATAATTTGTAAGGAAGCCCCAAACGAGAGCGCAATTCCTGAATAAAATGCGAAGAAGTCTCTGGCGGGAGCGGGGGTCCTGGCTAAATTGAAAGGAGGTCTCAGGCGGGAGCCGTTGTTGTTGTAACCCAGGGGCCAAGGGCCCAGTTTGAGCATCAAGACTTTCCCTGTCAAAAAACAGGGTGCGAGCGTCGAGGGGCACACTTTGATTCAGAAAAAAACAGTATGCACCGATGGAGGGATCAACAATAATTATTCATCAGAAGTGAGAACTCAACAACAACAACAACAACAACAACAACAACAACAACAACAACAACAACAACAACAACAACAGCAACAACAACAACAACAGCAGCAGCAGCAGCGACAATTCACTGCGTGGAGCTCCCCATATGTGCATCTATTCGCATGGACCTGTCCGCCGTGAATGTCTAGGCGCAAGGGCTTTCGAATATACAAGGGCTTCAGTTGTGACGGTCTGGACATAAATCTAACTGCGAACGAATTGGAGTGTGAATGAGCCTCAGTAGTACGAGCGCGTCTTTGTGCATGAGCCTGGGGCCTCCTGGGGCCTCCTGAAACCTACTGGGGCTTCCTGGGGTCTCCAGGAGCCTCGTGGGGCCTCCTGGGACCTCCTA